CCCCCAAAATCTGAATTTTCATGTCAGGCATTCTCTTTAACTTACAGGTTGTGTCACAACCACAAGATTCGGCGCCACCCACACCCCGCCCCCTGCCAGCCTTCTGAGTCAGCGAGACACAATCTTGATATAGACGCCGTTTTTTGGACCTAGGGCAGATTTGGATTCTAACTGCAGCGGTACCTAAAATAGAGGAAATTAAAATATTTGTCAAAGTTAACCATATATCTGTGGGAAAACTGCCTCGGAACCGGGCCTGAAGCAGGCTTGTGGAAATTTGGCTGTGGGCGGAGTGATGGCCGGGCTAGCAGTGAGCAAGGAACCACCCCCAATTGGACCACAGTTCCTGGAAGAGCCAATGAAGCTGCCCTCCCGGACTGACACCCCACCCCCCAGCACACAGTGAATAACTTGACTCGCCCTTTCCCATGGTAATGAAATGCACAGGCAAAGAGTATGTTTGGTCCTGCATTTATCCACCCCAGGAGCCTGGGTAAGAGGTGGTAGCCTCTCACCCTGCAGGTGAGGAATGGAGGTTCAAGAAGGCCAAGTGACTTGGTCAAGGCCACAGCTGGCATGGAGAGCAAAGTCCCCAAGCCTTTCAGCAATTCTAACTCTCTCTGCTGGTCCCTCCTCATCCCGCTCGCCAGTGCCAGGCCAGTAACTGAGCAGTCCCCTCTCTTTCCCAGGGGCTTTGGGAAGAGGGGATGGGAGCAGTTTTCTGTTCATGCACGTTGTGATCTGGCTTCACTGACTTCCAGAAAGCTTTCCCATGTCCAACCTAAAGGCAGAGTCGATAGCAGACTGGGGGCTTTGAAGAAAAGCCAAAAAATTCCTCAAGTAGCTGGATTTCTCCTGGAGCCATGTGTAAAATGATGATTTCACAGCTAATGAAATCGTCCCCTGACAGGGACAGGCTGTGGTCATGGGGACTTGAGAGTGTCTGCACTCATGGGGAGGGGGGAGGCGAGGCTGTGGCAGCTGGGAGCACCTCCCCTGCCTCCCCTCCAAGCAGAGAGGGCCTGAGGGGGTAAGGAGGAGCCAGAGGGAGTGTCCCCGGCTTCTGTGGGACACGCCATGCACCCCAAAACCCCTTCAAAAGCAGGCACCCTTCACAACGGTAGACACTGTTGTCTGACTGCTCTTCGTGGAAGGAAGAGCTGCGGCAACGTGAGGCTCAGCCCTGCACACAGAGTAGTAGTAAAGACGACGCTGACACACACATGGCGTGTCACCTGCCTGGCACTTACCTGAGCACTTGCACGAGCTCGTTTAATCCTCACATGACATTAAGAGGTAGAGGGTGTTACTATTATCATTCCCCGTTTATGGATCAAGAAACTGAGGCCAAGGGAGGTTAAGGAGCTCACCCAAACTCATCGCGGAGCCCAATGCCACCCCCGGCTGGCCCGCTGCAGCACGTGGAGCTGGGGTGACCAGCCCTGCCCGCAGTGTCAGGCCTTACCTGAGTCTCAGCACAGGCCTGGAACCGGAACTTGCACAGGATGTGGAGCAATGTCAGCTTGACCTCCAGCAGCCCCAGCCGCACCCCGAGGCAGCTACGGGGGCCCGCCCCGAAGGGCAGGTATGTGAAGGGCCTCCGCTGCCGCCGGACCTCGGACGTGAACCTGAAGGTGCGTGTGGTCAGGGCTGGCCCTGGACACCTGCTCCCTTCCCTCTGCACTGGCTGAGCCAGCCCTTCCTCTGACACCTTCCTCCAGGAGGGGGTAGCCCCACCGCTGCAGTCCCAGCCCTGGAGGCACTGCTGAATTCAAAGAGTCGCCCTGACTGTCAACAGTGCCCTCCCTGCCTCTCCTTAGGAATTCAGTGTGGTGTTATTGAGGCCACGGGCTCACCGAGACCCAGAATCACAGTCTAACAGAACCCCAGGGGCACCCCAAGCCCAGGGCGTGACGATCACAGCCCGCACCTGGCCCCTGGCTGCACCTCCCCTTGGCCAGAGGATGGCCCAGCATCACCTGGGTACTTCCTAAGGGGAGTCCCAGGCACCTTGGCACCTACCAGCCCTCCCTGGAGGCCATGTCCTGCCAGTTTGCCCCCCGTCTCTCGAAACACACTGGCAGCTGCCTCCCCTGCCCACGACTGCTTTGCTGGCCCGAGCGCCTGACACACACTGGCAGCTGCAGCATCTGGAGGGCTGGGTGCCCTTCCTTGGAACCGCTGAGTCTGCTACCAAATAGCAGCATTTGCCTGCCACGTGTGTTCTGTGACAGCGAAGCCTGGTGACACTCATTCTTTTGTAACAGCCAGCTCCCTTCTTGCTAGCTCTGGACTTCACTGAGGTGCTGAGAGCCCTGGGGCTGCTGTATTTTCAGGAGCTGCTGGCTAGTGGAATGTTGTTTTTCTAGATCCCATTGCCCATCTTTTCCCAGTGACCAGGTTGTGTAGCTGGTCCCAGTTCAGTTGGAGCCATTGAAGGCGCAAATGCAACTGCTGCCTGGCCAGCTCTTGCCCTGCCAGATCACACAGGGGAGGGACTTCAATTCATGCTGGTGAGGGCTGGGTGGGGATGCCGGCTCACACATTTCCGGTCCCAAAGCCTAGAGATGAAACTAGACAATGGACCGAATCCATCGGAGTGGAAGCAGAGTCTACTACCGGATCCCATGAATTCAGATTCGTGGAGAAATTTGGCTGAGACTGTTGTTTTGGCAAAGCTGCCAGTTTTTAAAAAAAGGAAACGATGTTTTGTTACTTTCCAGTGGACACCCAAAGACAATCCCATCTGCTGTGTCCTGGCTTGAACAAGCAGAAGACAGCCTTTGGAAATCGCCTTGTTTCTTGCGTGCAGTGCTGCTGAGATGCTAAATCTCTGGATTCCGTTTGGAGCTTTTTTAAAATGGTACAACTATTTCCTTTGGAAATTAAACCTTGCAAACATCTATGTGAATTGCCATAACTTTTGACTGTTTGGGGACTGTGCCTCCCGGCCGCTCCCTCCAACTGCTATTAATAAATCTCCACCCCACACACTCACATCCCCCCTGGGCCATTGAATGGGGGCAGCGCTCACCTCTCAGGGTTGAAGATCTCGGGGCTCGGCCAGTGCTCGGGGTCGTGGTGCAGGGCGCCCACGGCCATCTCCAGCACGGCACCCGCGGGGATGCGCTGTCCCAGCACCTCGCAGTCCTGAGCCACCTCCCGCGTGAACCTGCGGGCGACAGGGAGATGCAGAGTGAGACTCGGAGGAGAGCTTGGGGCGTGCTGGGCAGGCAGGGTCTGAGTGTGGAACAAGGCTGGGTGACGGGGGCCCAGCCCTTCCCAGGGTAACCCGGATGGTGGCCGAGCCCCCTCGCATTGACCCTCACTGCCCCAGGAGCCTGCAGTTCCTGGGCTGCGCAGACGCGCTCGGCCCTTGGTGAGAGCGCACTCCTGCCTGCGCCTGGTGTCAAGGTGCAAAAGTGCCTTGGAGGGGCTTATTTCTGGAGGGATCTTGGAGGGTCATTTCCTGGCTACTACCTTTCTTATCTTCCCATTCACAATCAAGCTTCTTCGAATTGCCCCCCACACCCTCTCGCTCCCTGGTCTCCCATGTCCCTGTCCAGCCCAGCCGTCTGGCTGCTGCCCTCGGTGTTTGCCTGGTCAAGTTGCGCACGGATGCACGGATGGCCCCGGTGCTGACAAACCACACCCCAGTCTGACTGCTGAAGCCGCTGTGGCTTTGGAACCACCGTCCAACTCCCCAGCTCAGGTCTCCACCATGAGGCCTGTCGGTGGTGGCCGCTCTTGGCTCCTGGCAGAGTCTAGCTTCCTCATCTCACCACAATTTCTTATAACAAACGTCCATTACTCAAGAAAACGTGACTGAGTCTCTCTCTGTTCCTTGCAACTTGAAAACCCAACACAACTCTCTTAAGCTTCACCTTGGTGGCTGTGGCCCAGCAGTCTCCCCTGAGAACCGAGTCTACCTGTAGCAATGTAATTTGACCCTTGGAACTGAAAATTGAGACCACCCGTGTCCATGTGACTTCCTGTCTGTTCCAGAAAATTCCTGCCCAGGAAGAGAAGACTCTAAACCAAGAAATAATGTCACTGTTTGCTTCAGGAAATTAATGCAAACTAATTCATCTGGGCTAATAGCTTTCCTATCAGGACAATGGGTTGCTCGCTGGAGCAAAGGGTTTGCCTACCAGGCAACAGTCGTACCTGGCAAGTCTCCCTTCAACTTGCCTACCTGTATCCACTAATCCCTAAACTGTTATGCCATGAATTTTGCCCAATTTCAATCAATTCCTAGCCACGAAAGGCCTACCTTAAACCTCTGGAGCCCTGACCCCAAACCCTAGACACGCCCTGCCCTGACGGCCCAGGGTGAGTTTCTGCCGAGCACGTGTGCGGTCACTCTCCAGACCCACGTGCAACCTTCTATAAACAAAACAGAAGTGAGAGCCGAAGAACCCCTCTTCTCCTCAATTTGGGACACAAAAGTGTAGGCTTTTGGACTTTGGTGTTTAGCACAAGCTCTCAAGCGTTCTGGTCATAGTTCATTTGGAATTTTAAAGGAGGAGACAGAGCCCTTTAGGACAAGGGCGAGGTGACAACAAATAGTCTCTCTTCATCGCCCTCCCCTCGCACTGCTCCCCCACCCCCACCTGCTGCTGTAGTGCTGGGTTGAGAAGTTCCTTTCTGATTCAGCCTCACCCCACTTCTTACAGATCCCGCCCACAGGGAGAAAACAAAGCCTGCCTCAGCCCCGCCCCCCACTCACCTGCCAGACCTCAGGCCACTTCCTACCCCAGCAATGTGAGCGCTGGGTGGTGATGCCACTCACGGCCTATGCCCAGGCTCGGCCTTGAGATGCCTCCCTGTGTGGAGAAGGCGTGCGTCCCCAGCACGGCTGGACACTGAGGGGTGTGCGTGCACCCCTCACACGGGCTCACACCCCTGCTCGCGTCGGCACCACCCCCAAGTGCCTGGGGTCAACGGAAGATCCTCTGCGTGTTACATCTTTAACACAGGACGTGAGAGCGTGTGCAGGACAGCAGCTATAATAATTCTGGAATGTTTCAACGCCAGAATGGTCCTGGTGAGGTTGGATTGGTTGATTGATTTGTTTGTTCACTCGTTTCTTACTTTATTGAGGTAAAATATATGTAACATAACATTTACCATTTAAGCACCTTCATTGTTGTGCGGCCATCTCCACCGACCCGTCTCCAGAACTCTTTCATCTTCCTCAGCTGAAATTCTGTGCCCGTTAAACACTAATTCCCAGCTGTCCCCTCCCCTAAGGTCCTGGAAACCACCATCCTGCTTTGTGTCTCTGTAATTTGACTGCTCTGGGCAAGTCCTGGTAAGGTTTTACCTAGAGGAAATTTGGGTTTGGAAATCTGTTCCCCATTGTCTATACCACTACGGACAGCCTCTTCTATGAGAAGGGAAAACGTCTGACCAGGATTGTTTATTTTACCCAACGGCATAATCTCATTTGTGTTTTATTTTTAAAGGGTAGACTACATATTTTCTGCATGTGAACATAAAATTTCTGGAAGATGCCTGAGCTTGCACCATTATCTCCTCCAGGGAACAGCTCTGGGCTGGGGGGTAGCAGGGGGCTGGGGGCCCTTTTTCTTTGTGTCCTTCAATATTGTTTGGGGTTTTTAAATTATTATTTATTTATTTTTGAGACAGGGTCTTGCTCTGTTTCCCAGGCTAGCATGTTTAGAGGTTTTTTTTTATTTTAGAAGTATAAATATGTTATTTTGATAATATAAAAATTAAAAATAATTCTATGCCGGCTTTTACTTCAAGTTGTAGGATTGGGCTTCTCTAAATATCTTAGAGAAATACAATGATTACACCAATTATTGCTCTACCCTGCTCTTGCTCATAAAGGAAATTAACACCAACCCGTGGCTCCTGACCGTATTCACCTGTCTGTCACGAGCCTTTCACGTGACAGAGCAGTGACAGGCCAGGGCGGAGGGACCCCATTCAGACCCTAAGCGACTAACACAGTGACTGCATGCTCAGAGCTGGCAGCCAAAACCAGCCGGAAGCCCAGGCAGGCAGATGGGGTTGTGACGTCTGCACCCCAGTTCCCAAGGGGTCGGGCAGGGCCGTTCCCTGGCACTTCCTTTTTCAGCTTTACTGGAAACAGCTCGGACTTGGATGCAGGACCCCCGGAAGCTGGAAAATGGGGCCTTCCCTCCTCAGCGTCCCCGGGCCTCCTGTCCAGCTAGACCGGGCCCCACAAGAGGCCAGCGACACCTGCTACCGTGCGGCACAGAAGCCGAGTCACGTCGGTAACACTTAAGACTCGTTATGTTTTCCACAAGGGCCGTTCTGCGCTTCTTTCGTGGGTAAGTCGAGTTGTGTCAGTGCTTGGGAAAAGGCAACGTGCTTTTCAGAGGGAAAATAATGAAATAAATACAAGGACATAAAATGCTCACTGTCCCTGCCCTCACTCTCAGATCCTCCGTCTGGGCTGAAGGGGACTGTCCTGACGTCCGAGCGCGAGTCATGACTCCTCGCTCTCGTCACTGCTGTTTGCGAAGAGAAGCCGGCTGAGCCCACGTGACAGTGCCCGCGGAGCAGGCGTGTGTCCCCACTCAACCCGTGGGGCAGAGATGCACCGAGCAGTGCGGGGCTCCCTCAGGAGCACACCAGAGCCAGGGTGACACCGTCTTTGGACCCTCCCCTAGGCCTGTTCGGTGTCCTGTGGGCACGGGCACTGCGTGTACCTTTATGATGGAATTTGAGCCAATCTACCCGCATTCTCTATTTCTGTCCTGAGATCACCAGCACCTGGGTCCCCAGAGCAACACCTGCCTCAATTTCCTCTTACACTTTGCTGTTTCTAACGGGCCAGGGGGAGACTCAGCCACGGCACTCCCTGAAGAGCCTGTCGCTGTTTTTTTAAGCCTGTCCACTTTGTGTGACTCAACATGTCATCTCTTCTGTGTCTCACGTGATGAATTCTTGATTGAGTTTAGATCCAGGCAATGTGTCCTTTGATTAGTTTATATACTTTCCTCCCCCTGGAGAACGCAGCTGTTCAGCTCAGCTGGTTTCCCCGTCTGCCAGGAGCTTCGGCCACCAAGCCCAGGCTGACCCCAGCAGTCAGCCATCTCTGGGGCCCAGTAAAGGCTTCTTTCCTGTAACCAGCCTTTGTTCTGTGTGATCACTGAGTGCTTTATTCTGAACTTCATTTGAACATGTACACCAGCTGCCCGCAGTCCCCCGGAAGAAAGCTGGGTATATAGATCATGACAGTCTGCTCAAGGCTCCCAAGGAAATCAGGGAGGGGCTGGAGCAGCAAGTCTTTTTAAAACAATTTTTATTTTTAAGATTTTTATTTTTGAGACAGAATCCTGCTCTGTCACCTGGGCTAGAGTGCCGTGGCGTCAGCCCAGCTCACAGCAACCTTAAACTCCTGGGCTCAAGCGATCCTCCTGCCTCGGCCTCCCAGAGTGCTAGGACTATAGGTGTGAGCCACCTCGCCCAGCTTTAGTATTGTTTTAGAGAGAGGGTCTCGCTTCGTCACCCAGGCTAGAGGCAGTGGTGGGATCATAGCTCACTGCAGCCTCAAACTCCTGGGCTCAAGTGATCCTCCTGCCTCAGCCTCACCAGTAGGTGGGATTACAGGCACTTACCACTATACCTGGCTAATTTTTAAATTTTTTGTAATCTTACTATGTTGCCCAGGCTGGTCTCGAACTCCTGGGCTTAAGCCATCTTCCCACGTTGGCCTCTCAAAACACTGAGATTACAGGTGTGAGCCACTGTGCCCAGACAAGCATCAGGTCTTAATGCTGGCCTCAGAGGAGGGTGCGGAGAGCCCCGAGTCACTGGCCTGCTCCCCCACCAAGAGACCACAACCCTGGGTGCTTGAGGATGATGCAATTCAAATCACGGCACTGGAATTTTCTATCTTTGCTTCTGGACTTGAATATTTGGACAATACTTACAATCGCACTATTTGTAATTTGTAATTTGGTTTGAAATATCATTTTGAGATACCCTCAAGTCATCTACATTTTCTTTCTAAAAATGGTAAAAGGTTATCTCCATATGGTTTATGTAGTATATTAATTCATAGAAGTTCTGAGTGGAATTTATAATAGATAGTAATGTTTTGTGCTGCTTCCGTTTGTAGAACCTGAAATCTGGCCACTGTTTCACTCTCTCTAAGGGTTTGGGGACCGGAATTAAAATGCCCTTCTCCACGGGGTGCCCTCTTTGGGGGAGTCTGAAGCACAAGACTTGATTCCTACTCTCAAGGCACCTACGAGTTGGTGTGACCGGCAGCACCTTAGTGAAATGTCATGGAGTGTCGGACATGGGTCCAAGAATATAATATGAAGTAGAGCTACAGCTCAAAGTGCGGGGAGGAGGGCAGGGAGGACTAGTGGAGGCATGCCTGAGGCAGACGTCCTTGGGTGGTGAGTCCTGTTGGAGCTCCAGGACGTGACAGGTGGGGGTGCTGGACAGCAGGGAGACCTCAGACCGTCCCTGACTGTAATGTCAGCTTCATGGGCAGGGACTTCTATGTTTTTTGTACTCAGCTGATTTACGGAGCTTGGCACAAAGTAGAAGCTCAATAAATAGTTGCTGAATTAGTGAATAAATACATGAGTGGACAGGCAGGGTGAATGGCAAAAGCCACCAATGGCTATGAGGCCAAGGAAATGGGCTTGGGTTGGATAGGGAGGCCATGCTAAGAAAAGGCCAGGGATGCTTTGAGAAGGTCACTAACCTACAGGAAAAGGGCCAGACATTTGAGGTGCTCCAAGAGATGCAAAGGAAGCAAAGAACTTAGACCCTGGCTTGCAGGAGCACGTGACAATCCAGGTGGTAATGGAGGGAGGCCCAGCGAGGGTCTGGGGTGCAGGGCGGGCGGGGCTGCGACGTACCTGAAAGCCGGCGGGTACATCCTCAGAGTCTCCGCGATCACCATGTCCAGGTAGGGCAGGCCTTCCTGCACGCTGCAGTACTCAGGGGCCACCTAGGGAGGGGCCGTGACAAAGGAAAAAGGTGGGATCAGCTGGAATCTCGCAGCATTTTGTCTCTTCCGTGAACTTCAGCGTCCTGCTCCAACTTTGGCAAACATTTAAGTGAAAACCCCACGGAATGAAAAGTAGAAACAACCTGAATGGCATCTGATTAGCCCTCTACGTGCTCTGTGGTGCTTCCACTTCATGGTGCTATCCGTTATTGAAGACCAGCAGGTGTGGCCTGGGACCTGGGGGGTCTTCGAGTATCACACAGAGAACTTTGGTTATGAAACCGCAGCGGCAGCCTCAGCTGCCAGCATTTATTGCGAGCTGACAACGTGGCCGACGTACTGCACAGATATTACCTGTTTGAGCCTCCAGCAAGCCAGCGTGGCAGCTGTTCCCCATCTCTTAGATGTGAAAACAGGCTCCGAGAGGCAGCCACGTAGGCAGTAATTAGTACATCATGCAGATTTTTTTTGAGAGAGAGGTTCTCGCTCAGTTGCCCAGGCTGGAGTGCAGTGGCATCATCACAGCTCACTGCAGCCTCCAACTTCTGGGCTCAAGCCATCCTCCTGCCTCGGCCTCCTGAGTAGCTGGGACTACAGGTGTGTGCCACCACGCCCGGCTAAACATCACAAGGTTACAAGACAGAGAAATACCAAATAAAAAGTTGGCCATATCTATAAAATATTAACAGTAACAAAAAACCGAAGAGCTTACTATAAATCAGTAAGAAAGACAACTCACTAGAAAAATGGTGAAAGGATTCAAACAGGCAAAACACAGAAGAAATACAAGTTGCCAGGAGAAAAATGCCAATTACAACAATGAGATTCCATTTTACACACGTGAGATTAGAGAAAGGTGGGAAGTATGGATTAGATTTCAGGGTGTGCAGGTGTGGGGAGCACAGCTCCAGCACCCTGTGCTGGGGAATCCTCGCATCCCCTGGTGACTCGGCAGCTCTCCCTCCATGGCCCGAGGAGGGGCTTATTGGTGAGTTGCCAGCAGGGAGTAGGCACACCTGTGGATGGGGTGGCTTAGGGTGGGGTTGTGGGATGCTTGTTGCTGCCCTGCCGGTTTCCTGCAGAGGTGGGATGAGTTATCTGGTTGGAAGGTGGCAGCCTCACTTTCTTCATTAAGGTGATGCTAATCCAGGAGGAGTCCCCAATTTGGGGAATTGCTTTCCTCTGTCCCCTCCTCTCCCCAGAGCAGCAGGAGGCGGCCCTCCAGGGCAAGCCCATTCTGCTGCCGCCAGCTTTCCAAGGATGGGTTCCCCAAGGCCTTGCCCTACCTGCAGGGGCAGCCCTTCCCAGCCCTGAAGCCATCACATGGCCACCCTGCCTGGGATCCAAGCCAGTGTTCTCAAAGTGAGCCACCGCAGTGGCAGCAGTGTCCCCTGGGAACTTGTTAGAAGTACAGAGCAAACCAGAAGGGAAGGGTGAAGGGTGATAGGGAGGGGGGTCAGGACACATGGAGTCTTGAAGTCCATGGTCAATATTTTAGCTAGTCAGTTACAGGACAGCCATTCAATATGATGCAGCCCATTTAGTGAAGTCCCTAAGTCAAGTTGTAAAAAATATGTGTAGTTTAACCCCAGATTTGTGCATGGTTATGAATGTGGAGGGCCAGGCAGTTATTTCCACTTTGCAATAAAAAATAACAATGTCTGGTTGGTTTTCCCAAAGCCCTTGTATCTGCATCTCTGGGAATTGTTCCTTCCAAAGGTTATTACTTGACCACACACTTCCCACCCCAATGGCAGGCCACCAGGTGGCTGGACAAACATATGACCCATGAGAACGGCCTGTGCCTGGGGGTTTGCTCTGTGGTTGCTGTCTTGAGAGCTTTAATAACTTTATCTTTGCATCTGTGCTTTGGAAGCAGAGTCTGAAGGGACAAGGCAGCATGTGCCAAGGGCTTGGGGCCGTGCTCCTGCATGGCCCCACCTGCGCTGAAGCTGCCGGCTCCCTGGAGCCCCCAGCCTGGCCTTCCCCTCCCTGTCCTATGACCAGTGTTGCTCCCCACCCTTGGCAGGGTCCTGGGCACAGGCACAGAGAGAGCCAGGATGGGATACATGCACCCCGCAGCATCTCCAGGTAGGCATGGTGGTGGCCGTCCCTGCCCCAGGATGGCAGTACACAGTGTCTGTTGTGGGACTGGCTGGAGGCTGTGTCATGGTGGGGACACACCCACCCCGGGTCCAGGCACTGGGTGTCATAGAGCAGTGGTCTGAAGATCTTTGGAGGATGCAGTCTGCTGTGGAGGGGCGTGGGGGTGGGAGGGAGAGATGCCTGAACCAACTTCCCTAGACCCTGCCCCCACGGGCTGGGTCTCAGTGCATGGGTTTGGTGGCTGGCAGGACCCTTGGATGCCTGTGAGGGTCTGAACTGTCCCAGCCCATCAGGCATGTCCAGGCCTGAAGGCACGCCCCCTTGGGGGATCCTGGGGGATCCCTCTCTTCACGAGTTTCGAGTTTCGTTCGGGTTTGGCTCTTCTGGCCAGCAAGTCACAAGATTAAAAATTGTGTAAATGGGCCAGGCGCGGTGGCTCACGCCTGTAATCCTAGCACACTGGGAGGCCGAGGCGAGTGGATCCCTCAAGGTCAGGAGTTCGAGACCAGCCTGAGCAAGAGCGAGATCCCGTCTCTACTAAAAATAGAAATTATCTGGACAACCAAAAAAATATATATATAGATAGATAAAATTAGCCGGGCATGGTGGCACATGCCTGTAGTCCCAGCTACTCGGGAGGCTGAGGCGGGAGGATCGCTTGAGCCCAGGAGTTTGAGGTTGCTGTGAGCTACACTGACGCCATGGCACTCTAGCCAGGGCAACAGAGCCAGACTCTGTCTCAAAAAAAAAAAAAAAAAAAATTGTGTAAATGCAGTGGTTGTGCATGTGTTAAAAGTTCTGAAATTTACATTTAAAACTGGCATTATGTGATATAAAGATGAATGGTCAAATGTATGTCAATAACTTAAAATTTAGATTTTTCTTTATTTCGAATGACATTAAATGGAAAATAAAACCCACCGTGACAAGTGGAAGAAGAGAAGAAGGAAGCTTTATAGGCGCCGTTTCCTGCACTTTCCCTGCCTTCAAATAAAGGGTCCCACGTTTTCATCTCCATCTGGGCCTCGCCAATCACCTACTCAGTCCTGCAGGCCACGGTTGACTGGCCCAAGGGGACCAGTCTGGAGATTTGGATCTGGGGCAAAGGAAAAGCTTTTCTCCACCTGGCGGGAGCTGAACACAGGTGAGTCAAGACTCATTGGCGGCCATGTTTTGCCTCGTGGGTTAATGAGCAGGAAACACCAGTTGGCCTCGAGAAAGAAGAAACGAATCAGACATGCCAAGAGAAGCAGAGGCCAAGGACAGAGAGAGACCATTTCTTGGTGCCCCTGGAGTTACAGTTCCACTGTGCCATCTGCTCCTGGCAAGTGGCCCTGTGGGTGGCATCTCAGTACCCTTCCAGCAAGTTCTCACTTGTAGCCGAAGTTAGCGACATTCTGAATTCCATTATCTGCAACCAAAGGAGTTGCAGGACTATATATTAAAAAAAAAGAAAAAATAGAATCAGAGGTGCATCACCAAAATAGAGAACTATACCCCCAGAAGAAAAAGAAACCAGATCTGGGAACAGCATCCCTAACAGATAAACGGTGTTGGTTCCCCAAATAAAATTGCATGGGTTATAAGCTGTCAGGGTTTGTCAAAGAAAGAAAACTCTTAAGGTCAGCTAAGGGATTTCGTATTATAAAATCAAAGCCTTCATTTACTCTTTCTTGGAATGGGCTTTTCACTGTGCTTCTAAGCTTTCAGCTCAAGGTGCACGTGTAAAGATCATCTTGCCCGTGTAGCTGCACGTTAGAACCAGCTGGGTTTTTATATATTTTTAATATACACGGATGCTCGGGCCCCGCGCCCCAGGGAATGGCGTGTTGACTTGAGGTGGGGCCCGGGCACTGGTTCTCCTTTTAAAGCCCCCTTGCTGTCCGAGTGTGCAGGCAGGCTGTGAGAACCACTGGGTCCGTCTGTCCGTCTGTCTGAGACCCACCCTGACGCTTCTCCGCGCAGAGGGAGTCACACCCCCACCTCTTAGTCTAACCCAGTGAGACGACGACATTCTGTCCCTATCCCTCTTAGACCCGAGATTCTTTCAGGAACGTCGGGGACAAAGGCGGCCTGAGTGAATGCTGCCAGCAGAGGGCAGCAAGCACACGGCAAATGAGGACTCCCGGTTCCCGAAAGGGACCTTAGAAATCATTGCGTCCAATTTCTTCATGACAGAGATGCGAAGAACGGGACCCAGAGAGGAAGGATTGTAAACCCAAAGCCTCACACACACAGCTCCTTCTAAGTGTCCTCATTCATCCAGCAAGCGGGCCCTCAGCAAAAACCTGCGAGAGTCAGGTGCTGGGCTGGGTGCCGGGATCCAAAAATGATGCCGTCTCTGCCACCCGGGGATTCTGCTTTCCAAGCAAATCATCATACGGATGTGTAAAGTGTTACAGGGCAGGCTTACGAGGAATGGAAGGCCAGTTCTGGGTGGGAGATGGGGAATAGAGTGAGTGAGTACCACTGGGTGTTCAAGGAATAGAGGTGGTGAGTACCACTGACCAGCCACTGTGCCGGGCCCAGGAGGCAGGACTCCAAAACACACTGATCCGTCACACCCTCTTGGAGCTTCTAGTCTATCAGGATACAAACAAGGATGAGGGTGGGATGGAAGAACAGGCCAGGGAAGCACGTCCCAGACATTTGGGATTGGGGAAGCTGCCAGGAGGAAGCAAGGTCTAAACTGAGATCTTTATGATGAGTAAGAAGAAGGCCGTGAAGAGGGGGTGGGCTTGTCTGGATGCTGCTTCAAAAAAACCAAACCAAAAAAAAAAAAAAAGAAACTATGGGCCAGGTGTGGTGGCTCACATCTGTAATCTCACCACTTTGGGAAGCCGAGGTGGGAGGATCGCTTGAGGCCAGGAGTTCGAGGCTGCAGTGAACTATGA